CCCAAAACTTGAAAAATAAAAAAAAAAAAAAAAAAAAAAAAAAAAAGCCTAACACTGTTGATCAATAGGAAGAAAAATGAACATCAGAAACCTACGTTACTTCCAAATCACACAAAACGCGTTCCTGTTTACAGTGAATAAAATATCTGCAGAGGCAAGTTCAAGAAAATTTACCTTCTGCCTGCTGATTTATTACATTCCAAAAGGAACCCCCCCCCCATTTTTTCATAGTCTTACCTCACCAGGGAAGCTAGGGCCTCTGTCAGAATGAGGAACTAAAGTGGCCTGTCAAAACTCGAAGTCAATATTTTGCCACCACATTAACAAAAATAACACATTATAGTCCCAAATGCTAGTTAAGTTCTATTACTTAACTTTAATCACAAAATACACCAGGACAGCATTCAAAAGCAGCCAAGCCTCAACACAAAGTTTCAAAACAAAACCTCTCTCAATGTTGGGGTAGTAGCCAATCTGGGAGCAAAAAAGCACCACACAGCAGCCGCATTCGGCTACTAAGACAGATCTCAAACTTATCAAAGACAGTCACAACTGCAGCTCCTGTCACCCAGAAGCTCAAAGAGAGAGGAGCGAGCCAAAGACAGTCCTGGGAGCTAGCCTTTCTGGAGACGGCCAGGCCGAGCTCGCTCAGACAAGGAGGAAGTAACTGCCAGATAAAAAAGCCCCGAACAGCTCCAACTGCAGCCGCTGTGCCTCCCACAACTGCCCACATTCCCGCCCCACTCGGGGCTCCGCGAGGAAGGGAACAGAGCGCAGGTCTCCCGAGAGAGGCTGGGGACCACAAGTCCACGTCTTTTGGGGGAGCAATGGCAGAACTCGAGCCCCGGGTTCGAGAGCCTGCTCGGAGGGAATGTTGGCGGGGGGGGCGGGTGGACACCTAGAAAAGGGTCGCCCAGGAGGCGGGGCCTGCCGGCTGGAAGCAGCACCTCTTAGCACCCTGGCCGCCCCCCGGGAGAAACACGGGCGCACACCCCGACGCGGAAGCCATGCCTGCCAGAGCTCGGGGTGCCCAGGTGCCGGCGGGGGGCGCTAAGGAGATACGGGGGCGCGAAACTGGGTTACCCCCATCCCACCGCCCCCTCACAAAGGCCCCCGGGGAGGCCGCCCGCAGGCCCCGCAGCCCCGGCCTCGAGTGCCCGCCTCGGCCGCCACTCACCGCCAG